AAAAATGAACACACAAGATACACAAGGTGTATCGGAAGCGCAAAAGAGAAACACACAGCTGCACATAACGTGCAATGAAATCATAATGAAACACACACAAAAGGAAAAAACAAACAATATAATGAAAACAAAACAAAAAGAAAGCTGTGATCACCATGTGAATATGTTCAGGAGGCAAGAACACAATTCCCTGCAGTAGGTGTGTGTGTGTGTGTGTCTTTCGTACAGGGCAACCAGCGGGAATGATGCACACAAACATGATGACAGTCACACACACACACACAAAGGGAAGGAGAAGGAAGGTTGGTAGTGTGCCTGTTTGTGTGTCTTGAACCCCCTGCCATTCTTCACATTTCAGTCACAGTCATTAAAACATGTTGGGGAAATATCCCATTCCCATGGGTAAAAGCAATAGTTAGTAATATCACGGAACACACACACATACACACTTCACTAGGCGGGCACAGTAAATGTCGGCAAAGCAGAGCCCAGATAATGCCAACAAACAAAGAGAACACTCCCTTACAAAATAATGGTTTGTCTTCTGATGAGCGCCATAGGGAGTACAGTAGATTCGTTCAGCAAAAAAGTGTAAATAAGAGACTCATCAAACAGGATAATAATATTTTTAAAAAGTTCGGTTATTCAACCAAAAAAAGAACAATGCTCTTACAATGCATCCGTATCCACTTAACCAAAGATTAACTGTGCAGCTGCGTCACGGGAACACCGATCAGCACACGAGAGTGCAGCCCAGCACACACATCAGAACAAGAATCAGCGATAAGGGACTGTGCACCAATGCAGGACTGCTGCTGCTGTCACCTAAACCGTTCAACTCCTTATTTTCTTTTGGTGATGTCTCACTTTCACTTCCTGTCATCGTCGTATTGTTGTTCGTTTGAGCCGTCTCCTGAATTTCACGATCCAGTTCTGCTTTTATGTTCGGGTACTCTTGGAAAATATTATTAATGATTCTTTGAAGACCCTCTGCTGCAGCGGACGCAGCTACCGCCTGTTGCTTGGCCATCTCCACTACTCTCAAATTAATTGAGTCGCTATCGACACGTTCAAGGAAAGACTCCACATCCTTCGCTTTTTTCATGTACTCTTCAGCCAATTTCTTTTCTTTTTGGCTTTCCTCTGAGTGACTCGGTTCACCTTTTTGTTTGAGTTTTTCAGCAGCACCCTGAAGTTGTACTGTCAAGGTTTTCAGTTGCTCTGACATTTGCATAAATTCTTCCAACAAATTATTTGTTTTTGTAGCAATCGAATTCGCGTTGGCAGCAGCTTCAGTGGCCTCTCTTACTGTACCTTTTGCCTTCCTTAACAACTCTTTCAATTTACCCTGATTCTCACTCACGTTTTCAGTCATACCCATAATATTTGGTGCTGCAGCTTCTATAATAACCTTTTCATCTTCACGGGCTTTATTTACTGCATTCTGAGCACGTTCAGCTGTTGTTTTGCACTCTTCCCTTGCTTTGTTCAGTAAAGCAGCTGCACTTTCTTTCTTACTTTTCCCCTTTTCCATCTCAGATGTCAATTCTCTCATTCGCTGTAAAATATTCTTTTCCTCAGAATCGGTGGAGGCTACATCACTTTCCGCATATGCCACACACACACAGCACTGCAGAAGTACCAACAGGTACACCACACGGCGCAGTTGGACGAACATCGTTGTCATGATTGTCACTGTGGGTTGCTTGGGTCTGTGGTANACGGAACACACACACACACTTCACTAGGCGGGCACAGTAAATGGCGGCAAAGCAAAGCCCAGATAATGCCAACAAAGAAAGAGGACACTCCCTTACATAATAATGGTTTGCCATGTGGTATGAGTGCCATAGGGAGTACAGTAAATGTGTTCAGTAAAAAAGTGCAAATAAGAGATTTATCAAACAGGATAATAATATTAAAAAAAGGTGTAATATTCAACAAAAATGAACAGTGATCTTACAATTTATCCATATCCACTCAAACAAAGGTTAACTGTGTAGCTGTATTACGGAAACAACGATCAGCAAACGACAGTGCAGCCCAGCACACACATCGAAACAAGAAGCAGCAATAAGGGACTGCGCACCAATGCAGGACTGCTGCTGCTGTCACTTAAATGTGTAACATTCAAAGGGACGGTTCCCTTTAAATCATTGATAGACGTGTCATTTGACGGTAGGGAATTCGAAGAAATAACAGAAGATGGCTTGTTTTGATGTACCAAATTTCTTGGTGAAGGGGAAGAGTTGGGTGCTTCATTTACTTTGTCAACACTCTCATTTCTGTTCTTATTTTCTATCTTCACATTTTCCTTATTTGTTTGTTGCTGACTTTCTGTCACTATTTTGTGTGCTTTAGTTTGTGGGCTCTCATTGGTCGTGTGACTTGTGTTATTATTGTTTCTCGTATTCTTCATTTGCTCAAATGCATTATCTTCCACCACTGACTCAACTGTTCTCTCAGCCTTTACCAACTGAGCATCTGCTAATGACGCCGTATCACTTCTCATGTTTGCTGGCCCTCCTCCGTTAGTTATGTCTTCCTTTGTTAACTTTTCTACTTCTAATAGCTTTTTTTTCTGTATTTCTTTTTCCACAGCCTTCTTTGCCTCCGCAATAGCAGCATTTAGTCCATCAAGTTTCTCTTTCACAAGTTGTGGGGCTTGAGCAGCTGATCTTGCTTTTACTTCTTCACTCTCAATCTTCTGCGTGGCGTCCTTTCCATCAGATTTCATCTTCTTGACTACATTGTTTGCTTTCTCTTTAGCATTAAAACCTTTAAGGTACTTTTCGCTAAAAGACGCCGCCACTGCAGGATTTACAGAATTATCAAAGCTCACTGACTTCATGTACTCATCCAACAATTTCTGCAGATTACCGGCCATCGAACTCAGTTATGTAGCTGTACTATGAGACTTGGTAGCTTCTTCACGTGCCTTTGCACATAATTTGATTGCTTCAGCGGCTCCAACCTTTGCCTTCTCTCCTGCATCATTGGCACCATCTACAGCTTTCTTCCACGGCTGCATCATCTCTTCTTTCTCTTTACCATCCACATACTTCATTAGATCATCATCATTCTTACTATATCCTTCAATCTCCTTCGCAAACTCACTAGCCTTCTCAGCGTCGTTCACAGCAACTTTGACAGCTTCAGTGCACTTTACCCTTGCATCATTTGTTATTGCGATAATCCTTTCACCTTCGCTTGCCGTTTCTAAAATTTTGGAGGTCAAATCATCAACTTTATCAGCAACAGACTTCTCGTGAGTTCCCCCTATGAGTGTAGCATTATTAGCATATGCCACAACCGCACAGCACTGCAGAAGTACCAACAGGTACACCACGCGGCGCAGTTGGACGAGCATCGTTGTCATGATTGTCACTGTGGGTTGCTTGGGTCTGTGGTAACAAGGAAGAAGAGAAAAAGAAACAAAGAACACAAAGAGCAGTGCAAACACAACATCTATGCACAGACACACAGGAAAAGCAGCGCAGTACATGAAGCACAAAGAAGAATAAGGGAAAAGAAAACAAGAAGAATTATTCCCATCAGGTTCAGAACAAACCACACCCATGTGACTGCACTCCACAGACACACAGACGTGTCTCTTACCAAACCCCAATACAATTAAAACACGTGTATATATATAAACAAACATATATATAAATAAAAAAAAAACAATAAATTATTTCATTCCTTCTTTGGGAGCCTGCATCACCCAAGCAAGTACATTTGGTACAAATGAGTATGCAGTCAAATGCCAAAGGATATAGTTACAGTGAGGGAAGGGGAGACAAAACAAAAACTTACACAGTGAATTCAATTACAAGAAAAAAAACAAGCACACACAATAGAGGGGAACAGTATATATATCAATTCTTCTGCAGATGGCTGCGCACACTCGCAGGTGCAGCACAACAGTCCACCATCACAGCAGCACACTACACATGTGCACGGGAACAACCAATGCTGC